ACGTGTAACACAACGTTACGAATCCCATCACACACACATACACATTCCCACTTTATCATCGTGGATGTGTGTGCGCTTCTCCAGTAATTTCCTATATGTCGATAAATCGCATAGGGACGCATTAATTATAGTCGCGGCGAGAGCCACTTGTGCATATGGCAGGCTACTGCCTGCTGTCAAGTGACAGTAGCACAGCATCGGGGGTCATAGGCATAGGCACAGGCATAGGCCAATTTGGTTGTATTTGTGCAGAGTTGATGTTCACTTGTACTTGCATTCGTAAAGATGTCTTTCATACGTTTGCTATTTCTCAGCACGAAACATGGATTCCAAATCAGACAATACGGCACGTTTTGCATGCTCCATGAATGCATGATTTATTAATTAAGATAATATTGTTTCACATTTTTTTATACCTACTTCTATTTTGGAGCACGAACCTGAGATTTTAAACCAGACAACACGGCATGTCTTATATGTTCTTTGCCCCTAAATTGTACTTATTGAAAAAAGCTATCTAATATGGAAGGCATCGGTTTCCATATTCCACATCTACATGGGGGGGGGTTGAAAGAGGAGGTCTTCCCCACCACTGTACCATAAAAAGTTATGGGGGTTCAAATTTAATAAATATGTCAATTTTNGAAAGAGGGGGTCTCTCCAACCACTGTACCATAAAAAGTTCGTGGCGGTCTCACCCCCATAAAACGTTATAAGGGTTCAAAGTTAAGGTAAAACTAATGGAAAAATACATAAAAATATTGAGAAAGTTATATAAAACATTATTTAAATATCTTTATCAATAGGGTAGGTTAGGTTAGGTTATCGGGTTTTGTTCAAGTGACCACCCTCTTTTATTTGAATTATAGTGTATGAAAATTGTCAAAATAATAACATCAACCCCGATAACTTTTTATAGGTGTGAGACCGCCACAAATTTTTTATGGGGTTTTATTCAGATGACCACTCTCTTTCGATCCCCCCTGCCTCATCCCCATCTAACCCCCATAACTTTTTATGGGGCTGAGACCGCCACGAACTTTTTATGGTACAGTGGTGAGGGAGACCTCCTCTTTCGATCCCACCCCCTTCGGGGGTGAGGGCCATCATCTAGACATTTACCTACAATGTGTAGTACGAGACATGAAATTACAAGTCCAAAAGGCACAATGATTCAAAGAAAATGCATCTAATAAACAAGTCATCCCCTTTATTACTAATACAGATCTCTGACCGTTAGCTTGATAAGGTACAAATGGTCAAAAGGGACAAATTTTGATATACCATTATAAAATTTTAACGATTTACATAAGATATAGTAATTATCGTACAAATAGAATAACTGGGAAACATACAGCAAAAATGCAGTTTACAGCGGAGTTAAGCAAGAAAATGTAAGGAAAGTATGTCATTGTTTTCTTTATTACCGAGTCCGCTATATTAGTAAAAACGTAAAAACAATTTTAATGATGCTTAGTAAAATCACAAGAATTTAGAAAGCATAAGGTAAATAATACAATAGGACATCCTTCGAATATTGGGAATTTTTAAAGGTCGTAAATTTATTAATGACCCCATATAACCATCAAGAAACAACATTGTACAGGTAGTTATTTCCCTAACCCGGTTTAGTGTCATAAATTTTATTCTTAAAGACCGGAAATAACCTGCTGTTAAATTTGAAGGTACTTTCTACATTCCTTCAATTAATAAGAAATAACATAATTAAAACAATATAAATTATTTCAAAATCATTTTTCAAATAAAAGTAATATTGCTACTCCTTCCTTTAATTTTCATTTGAACTTTCTAACAGACCGTATCGATTGACTTTAAAGAGAAATAAAAATAGACAAATGCCATGATGGGTTATTCAAATTTATATTCCCATTGCAAACGTTCGTTTTCATATGAGATAATTACGAAACAATTAGTAATTCTTTTGAAAGCAGGTTAGCAAATAATAATTACTGGTTTTTGTTCTCTGGTGCTTCCCTTCCACCTTTTGTTCCCTTTCATCGTACAAAAACTACGTTATTAAAGTGAGTCCCTTGCCACGGTCTCTTCTCCTCATTAAGGAGTCTCTGCATGCGGTCCGGCAGAATTATTTAGGGTTCATGTTTTTCCGTACCCGGTAGGTTCTATTCTGTATTCCATCCCTTAATTAACTGTCAGCAGACGCGTTATAAACTGCTTCTAGTCACGCGTCTAAGGTGTTGAAAGGAATTTAACCTCTTTTCAAGATATCGTTAACACCATCATCCTAGCTAAATAGTTGTAGAAATGGTAATACTAATATAAAATTTGGAACAACCGAAAAGAAACAATTTTTCCCTTTGCAACACAGAAAAAAATTGAAATTTCAATAATGATTGAAGGCCAGCTATTCTACATTAATATTTTGTTACTATTTTCCTCCGATGGTTTAGAAAAATACTATTATATTCCATTAAAAGCCTTGACTGAGCTGTTAAAACATGTGTATCTTGACAAATGAATAAATATGATGGCTGACAACAGAAACAATGTGTCAACAAATGAAAATCATGATGGCCGACACCAGCAACAATACCTCAACAATTGAAAAGCATGATGGTCGACATCAGCAACAATACCTCAACAATAGAAAAGAATGATGCCCGATACCAGCAACAATAGAGGAATATAAATGGCCAAATAAACATAGATATAACCTATGGTTTATAATTTATGTAGATATATGTATTGTAATAAAGTTTTATTGCATATCTTGAGGTCCTACTGTAATATTTAGGTAATTCTTTACATTTTTAAAAGATTAATAGTTACTGCAGGCTCAGAAAAAGATTGAAATTGCAATAATAAATAAAGATCAGCTATTTTACATTACTTTAATAATATATTCCTGTTTTCTATAGACAGATTAGAAACATACTGTTGTATTCCATTAATAGCTTCGACTGAGGTGTTAAAACATATGCATTTTGACAAATAAAGAAATATGATGGCCGACAACAATTGAAAAGCATGATGGCCGACATCAACAACAATACCTCAACAATGGAAAAGCATGATGGCCGAAAATAGACAAATGAAAATGGCCAACTAATCATAGATTTAATGTTTTATTTATAATTTATGTAGATTTGTATTATAATTATTACATGTTGAGGTACTATGTCAATATTTAAGGAATTCTTTTAATATTTCAAAGACTAATAATTACTACAGGATTTTTTTATATATGAAATAAATTAATGTAAGAATTTTTTAATTTAAACTTGATACATATATACTTAAAATACTGATAGCCTATTACATTTTGTTGGACGAAAATAAAAAAAAAAACACGGCCACCTACAGAAACGTAATTTAAACTTTTGATTTGGTTCTAAAAACTTCTCCTAATGAAAACATTTCGGACGCTTCTCCGCGAATGTAATTGGAAAAATAAACAAAAATAAGAAATTCGCAACATGTATTTAAATTTCCAATAAGGCAGGACCGCGTCTTACGGTTAGAATTTCAATTTCAAGAAACAAAGAACATTTAGAGAGAGTCAGAGAGAAAGAGAGAGATCAAGCTAGGAATAAAATGAAATTAAATGAAAAACGGAAAAAGCGGAAAAACAAACTTAAGGGAGCTTATGTTCTTTTCGAAAATAAATCGACTCTGACATTCAATACATCGTGGATTACGTACTTAACTCGGAAAACAGATTAAATTACAGCTTTGTCGCTTCTTTACGTAATCAGACAATTGAATTTGAAAATGCTTCAAGAAAACATACAAATAGAACCCTCAAACAAAATAATACGTGTTTTATTAGGTGACTTTTTCAATCCGTCAACTCCTAAGCGAATTACTATACAATAAACTGCACCCCTGCATATCGAGTTAGTCTTTCTTAAAAGGGAAGACAAATTCAATCACTAACCGACATTTTAAATGCATATTACATTTTTTTGTGTCTACGTTATTTGCAGAGTTCATGGTGATGAAAAATAACGCACAATATTTGCCATTTTTGAATAAAAACAGTTCCATTTTTTAGTTTAGTTATTAATTCTTCATTATTATATTACCGTTATGAAAAACTCTATTGCATTTAATTGAAAGTTCATGTATGCGAAATTAAAGTGCGACTTTATATTATTTTATAGCTGGTGTAATTCGGAAACCACATAATTATTCAATATTGACTATTTTGTAACAAAATTCATCACGCCATGTCTCTGCTGGCCGTGTAGGTGCAATCCGTTTTACTTTATTTAAATATTACCATTTACCGTCGACAATTTTTTTGTCGTCCAATTCGAATGGACCATTGTATTCAATTGTACCACTAAATTGGTGAATCACGTACAAACAATGACTTTCGAGATCGGTGATGATTAGAACTAAGATACAACTGACACACGAAATTGAAACAATGTCACTCTGTCAAGTCATTCAAAAAGAATAAAAATTAATTTGTAACCAACGACACTAAACCTGTCATCTGTCGTTAGGTGAAAGCAAAAACCTCACAACGTTACGATTTAATCTGAACACGTAGGGAAATAGGGGAACGTTGTTTTGAATACAAAGGCTTTGAAACAGTAGACCAATTACGACTTCTAATACAACCCATATTAGATATGACTTCATCAACTATTTAAACGTATTATTTGTGGTGTCCCTCCCTTTTTAATAAGGGTGTGAACCTGTTACTTATGTATCTATCTAGTAGAAATAATTGTGTAATATATTTATTGGGTCATTTTAAGAAGGCGAGACTTTTCAATCAACGATTTACTGAACCACAAAAAAAAAACCTTCGGTAGATCTTATGTTAGATACACGGGAGAGGTAAGAAGCTTCTACTTCTGCCTCATCGTAAAGTACCTAAGCGACAACGGCGTTTCGTCTTGTCAGTTCTGCTCATTTTTTGTGTTGAAGTAAAAGTAGTACATATAGGCATTAAAACATTCGAATCTATTCAATAAGTACATAATTAATTATGTTGTTCAATGACTTACTTGCGTCACTGCGAAAAACACAAAGGAAGGTGTAATTTACCTGTAAAAGAATAAAAATACATAATTACAACAAGATACTTACTTACTATACCTATAGTTAAGTACTTTCTCCATTAAAAAGTTTATGTAATAACATATTTAAAGCAACTTAATTTAAAGCAATTTATCTATCGTAGTAGATAACTAAGGCGGTAACAATGTGTACCGTACCTACAAATTTAACGAGAAACAATTTAAATGATTAGTTTCATAAATAATTCAAAAGCTGTCAGTATTTTAGTCACGCCAGAAAAAAACGTATCTAGCAGTGTGGTTATTAATGGTTTCAAAGTATTAAGTTAACACTTATACTAAAATATTAAGAGGTTTTTGATTTATAAATAATCTTTTATTTTCTGTCAAAAGTAAATTAGGGGAAAGTGGTCCATTTGTGATATTTTTATTATAAAGATTAGCTTTGATTCGTTATTATTTATAATTCTACTAAATTAGGTAAATATAAGACAGTATGTAAAAATCATAACAAGGAATCTCACACGGTTGACGTTTGATGAAACGCAGAAGAAAAGAGATGACGAGAATTGAAGGCACAACCGTCAATTGTTCGATCTGGTAACCTTGCTCTTAACACGACGCATTGTCATGCAACCCTTAGGTTGTGAAATTCGTTGTTACACATCACTGGAGATATTGTAATCAGTTAATCATTTTATTTTTTAGATATTAGGTAATTATTTTATTGGCAGTAGCTAACTTTTTTATATTTTATTTTCGCCAGTGCTAAAGTTCTACTGTTCACCGAAAAAAGCTCTGAAGCTTTCGAATTCTTTGGTAACGTAATTTGTAAATAGTCCACGTTCGCGTCTTAATTTTTTCCATCTTACTAATTACTCCACGAGTGCAAGACTAGCAATAAAATCAGAAATCCGAGGGAAGCGGGTCGACCAGCAGCAGTAGATCGTTCCACTAACAAAACTTATGCATTCGACCAACGTTTCAGCTGCTCAACTTCAAGAATTAATGTTCAAAGCATAAATGAGTTAAAAAGATATTCACAGCCAACCCGTTTAATCCAACAACTAATTACTGAACTTATTAAAAATTAAGTCTTTACCGGCGGGCGGCCAAGTTATTAGTTCTTTATTAACGTTACCCCCTAAATTAATTAATTCAGTTACTACTAAGAGGGATTTCCCCTACTCGACCCCGTCAAAAGCTCGCGACTTCGGATGTCTGGCCTACGTGTACCTATACCGCCTAGTGCAAGACCACAAAAATTAACTTTAATGGCAACTCGATACTTAATTACGCTAATGTAATCCCTTGATTATTATCACCACAGGACATAGCAATTAATTATTTTGAAGACGGTTTAGAGACAAGTTATGACGTTAATGTCGGTTAATAAACAAAACAACGCAAAAGGATCACGATTTATGAACAATAACTTTTTAGTATCCACTCTCTTATCATCTGCGCCCGTAATATCATTTAAAGAATTACTCAATGATATTAATTCCCGACATTCATCCAAAATGGTGACTCATTTTTCAAAATTTTCTTCATCTTTCTCTTGATGACTTTCGGTTTCTCGTTAATTGTACTAGATTTGGTAAATGTGTAGATGATGGCCCCCACCCCCTTCCGGGGCGGTCTCACCCCCATAAAAACTTATGGGGGTTCAAAATTAATAAATATGCCAATTCTTATACATTTCTAGGCATGTAAATATTTATCTATACAGTCATTCTTAAACAATATTTAAAGGTAAAACTAATGAAAAATATATAAAAATATTGAGAAAGTTTTATACCCCACCTCCACTCGCTTGAAAATAATTTTTTTATTGAATTTTATTTGAATTATATTGTATGAAATAATCAACTTTCAACCCCCATAACTTTTTATGGGGGTGAGACCGCCACAAACTTTTTATGGTACAGCGGTGGGGGAGACCTCCTCTGTCGATCCCACCCACCCCCACCCCTTTCGGGGTCATCTAGACCTTTACCAAAAACTTTATTTGAGCAGACATGTGTTTCGCTCACTTCATACGTGGGCATTATTAACGCGAGACAGTCTGTGACAGTGATAATGCCTACGTATGAAGTGGGCGAAACACGTGTCCCCTCAAATAAAGTTTTTTGTGGTAATTAGTGGTGAGTCTTCCTTTTAATTTTTAAGTGTTATAGGAATTTTAATACTTAACAATTAAACAAAATACAGGTACACAAAACAAAAGCATAGCAAACGTAATAATTAAAATAAATCCATTTATTCTACAGTACCTAAATTACGATAGCAATTCATGCAGTTGCCACAGTAATTATTCTTGTCAGACTGGCCACATTTAACCTAACTTTACCTAAATGTCTACCGTGCATTATATTAATGTGCTTTAATGTCTTTGATGAACTATAACTTACTATGAAATGCTTTACAGAAAATTTCTAAAAGCGCACCTCGGTATTACACTCCATTTACTTTCTCTAGCGATGTGCCCCTTCCAATGTCGGTTGCTATGCGCGCTGGCAAAATCGTAGGTAGAGAGAGAAAAGCTCATTATACTCTCGACTCTTGTTCATTAAACATACTGTTTCATACAGTACCTGTCAAAAGTTTTGTTCAATCATGAATAGTAGTTCGAGTCGAAAACAAGCGTTAAAGTCTTCAAATATAAATAAACATCTCGTTGATATTTTCAGTAGTAAATGGTA